GATAGGTATCAGCAGAATGCCCAAAATGTGGAAAAGTAACATTCTAAAGGACATGAGAGGGTCAGTTTACAGACAATGAATGATCTGTCTACGAGCACCTTGAGTATTACTTGATATTATTAGTTACACTGCTCCCTCTTACGGGTAGAATTAATTTGCACTCTACTTAGATAGGAAGATAAGAAGGGTACTAAGAATAAAACAATTATAACGTTTAAAACATCATTTATAAATACAAACTAAAATGTTTAAAGATTAAAGCATTTAAGGCCCAGAATCTCAAGAAAACCCAGGGTAGGGCAAGTGGGTGTGAGCATAAAAGACACAAGTTAGACCATAAATTAATAATTATTACAGGAGAATAATAGGGGTCATTGTCCTGTCACTTTACTTCTTATGTTTGAAATTTTCTGCAAAAAACAAAAATATCTTTGATATGAGTGTTATTAGTTTCATTTTACAGATAAGGGAAAATGAGGCTCAGAAGTTTAAGGGACTTATGTTCACAGAACCATTAAAGCCACCATAATCTGAGGCTAAATCAGGAAGATGTAGGTGGAGGTGGCTTAGAAGGACAACTAAAAAAAACCCTGTTCGCATTGCTTGTTTATTCATTTGTAAAACTATTGTGAAACTGTAGTCTACTTCAGAGTTTACAGTGAGGCATACGCCATGTCATCTGAGTGTTGGGGCAAAATGCAGCACAAGCTTTCTTATCCTATCCTTCTTTGCTATTATATCTAAAGGCAGAGTTTCTCTAGAAAACGTGCACTTAGTTCTTAAGAAACTTAATATGCACAGGGACCATGGCCAGACTGCATATAAAAACAGAATTCTGACCCACAGCTTGCAGCAACTTGATCAGGAAACCAACCACTAATCTACAATAAACAGTAAACCAGCCTGCGGTCAGTCAGATTTGTAGTCAGATTATCTCCAGTACAGATCAAGAGGCCAAACAATAATCTCTGTAACAATCATCCCCAAATAGCCAACACTCGGTTAATAAATGAGTTTCCCTAGTTTTTGTTCCCACTTCCAACTGAGGATCATCTAGATGTAGACCCTCAGCCAATCACATCAATCCCTCCCTATAGCATCCCCATGCCAATAGCCTCTAATCAGGATGTATCAGCAACCTTCTCCCTTTTTCCCCTCTTAAAAAAGGATTAATTAGAGCTGGGTATAATCTAGCACTCTGGAAGGCTGAAGCAGGAGGGTTGCAAATTGGAGATGTCCCCAGCCAGCTTAGTGACTTAATGAGGGTCTATCTCAAAATTAAAAAGAAAAATATTTCTTTTTAAAGGGCTAGGGATGTAGCTCAGCATGAGGGTCCTGGGTTAATAAAGAAAAAATTAATGGGAGGCCATCAGGCTGAAATGGTTTCAGCATCTACATAATCAAATTGAAACCTGACCCAGTATAAAGGGTGAAACACCACTCAAGCTCAACTAATCAGAAACCACCAAATTTACCTCTAATTAGGAATTTTAAATCAAATACATTTTCTTTGTCTTGCTTTCACAAATACTTTATAAAAATCTCCCAATCCTTTCCTCTTTCAGTGTAGTGTTGAACATTTAATGTCCAGTGCTGCCCAATTTATGAATCTTTGCTCATGTAAATGTGTTAAAATTTTAGTGGGGCTGAGTTTATCCATTAACACCACTGCAGAGCCTTCCCACCCCTCTGCCTGTCTGTGCGTCCACAAAATGCCAGGGATGGGAGCCACGG